GCCTTTGAGGTGAATGACGACATTGTTGTGCTTTGTACGATAATCCAGGGCTTGTATTTCCTATCATAAAAAAAATGAAAACACCACGTTATAAATTGCATGCGTCCGACGCGCTTTTCTTGATTTAACTTCATCAGGAACGCTCAAAGCCAAGGATGTATAAAGACCGAAAACGTTGTAGAGCTATAAACCAAAAAGGACCTAAAAAAATAGCCAAATCCATTTAAGGCCAACTTTGCCTGAGCCAGTTGAAACCTTAGTTTCTGTTTAATTTCAAAATTAATAAACGGGCAATTCTAAATAGTTTGTTATAAATCATGTCAGTTCCGTAGTACTGACTACTGAGCTGATGATACCCCCCGGGAACTGATAGTCCACCAGCAGAGGTATCGACTCAGTGCTGTAAAATAAATGAAAACAACACGTTATAAATGTCATGCGTCCGAGGCGCTTATCTGGATTTACCTTCATCAGGAACGCTCAAAGCCGAATATTTGAAAATAAATCATGATTCCCTTGATAGAGAGTTGCTGCTCACAAGGAAGCTATTTAACCATGAGTTCCAAGGGGTAAAGTTGAAGTCATCCCTTAGTAGATTTTACGGTAGCGATCACGAGTTGGTTGACCATTATGGAATATCCGTTTCACAGATGATCGTGTTGCTCAGTCTTTAGTTTTCTATGTTGTGTTTTGTGTACTATGGTTTGCCTGATCCTTTTCTTTTTTAGCCATGGCGTTGTCAGTTTTTTTTTCGACTTATGCGTTTGAATTTCCCTTTTGTATCTTTCGCCTCTCTTATATAGAATATTGCCATAAAAGATGGGATGTGAAATGCCTGAACGTATAAGATGTCTGCACGTTGATTATATTTACAAATGGTGTCTTTGTATCGATGATAAAATTTAGTAAATGTTTTGACAAGTTTGTGATATCGAAAACACTGGTGAAATAATTTTTCAGTAATACAGAGATTTCTTTCGTTAAAATCAAATACGTTGTTACATACACGAGCGGTATTTGTTTACTTTTGATGAATAAATCGATTCTAAACATTCCCATTCCACCCTTTGTTATCTCAAGACAACAAAATTGTCTTTCTATTTGGTTAACGTTCCAATCCCATATAAAGATCTAAAGAATATTGTTTATTTCTTTTGAATAATTTTCAAGAATTCCCCGCATCTCAATTTCATAAGAGCATATAGGCAATATTATTTTTTTTACTATAAAAGTTTTACCACTAAATAAAAGTTTCCTGGTTTTCCACACGTGGACACAATTTTTTTTTTTATCTTTTCTATTATGCTTTGCCATATAAAATCATTATCATTATCATAACCATGATTTACTCCGAGGGTTTTTACATTACCTGTAATCCATTTTATTTTGTTCAATTTTAGCTTTTTCCTTTTAAGAGATCCTATAATTAAACCTTTTGTTTTGTTGTAATTTTATTTTAGATCCCGAAGCTTTTCCATAAAATTTTAGGACATTGATAGATTTTCTACTGATGTCTCATTTTTATTAAAAAGTTGTGTGTCATCAGCAAACATGCACAATCTAGTTTCAATACTTTTACTCCCCTTGCCAAGTAGTCAATTTCAATTTCCTTCCCATTCAACCCTATCAAAGGCATTTTGTTGTTCAAGAAATATTATTAATCCATCTCCGTCTTCGTTGTCTATAGGTCTATTATTTCTTGAATCAATCTGTAAGCAGCACTAATGTTTCTTCCTTTAACAAATTCTATTTGATCTGGATGTATTATTTTTGGTATGATTTTTTTCAATCTCATTGAGAGAAGTTTTGGTATGCTTTTATAATCGGTGTTAAGTAAGGTAAGAGGTCTCCAGTTTTAATATTTTCTCTTTCACACCCTTATGTAATAACGTAACAACCCCTTTATGTTGAGATTTACTTTTTGCTAAATCTTTCATGAAGGAGTGTAAAAAATCGTTTTTTTATGATATCCCAATACGAAATGTAAAATTCAGATATAATGCCATCCTCACTTGGTGATTTTTTGGTGTTAAGAACTTTACATACTTTTTCTAATTCTTCCATACTTATATTACTTTCAAGCATCTCCTTATCGTCGGAACTTGTCTTATTTTCAATAAATTGACAAAGCTTTTGGCGCACTGTTCTTCCTATCCTTCCGAAGTATAAAGTTTGAAATCAAATTTCACCTTCTTCTGCCCATTAAACTTTTGCTCTGCTTAACTGTTAATTTGTCAGAAAACTGACATAAATTACTTCAAATTATGCCAAAAATCAGGCGTTCACAAATTAAAATCAAGATTTGAAATATGGAGATAAAGGATATTGGGGACGCCTATAGCTCTGGATGCAACATTCATTTGTTACGATGTCTTACGCTCTCTTTATAATCAATCATTAACATATTGTTTGTGCAAATGACATGGTGGACCCTCTCCAAATATCTTGGTTGTTTTGGTATTTCGCTCCTCCTAATCGATAAAAGAATAAATTGTTACTTGTGGAAATCTTGAATATGAAATTTTGAAAATGCAATGAACAGTATTAAAAGAGAGGCAAAGGATACCGAACGGACATCTTAAGTCGAAAATAAACTGACAATGCCATGACTAAAAAAGAAAAAAGACAAACGGACACACAGCATATCAAACTGTATATACAAACTAACGAAGCTGTGCATTTATCCTATGGTATGATAATAAGAAGACGAGTCTAATTTTCGAAATCCAGAACGCATGGCTAGGAATAAAGGTATCCGACATGACAAAATGTTAAATAATTTAAAAGTGAAAACTAAGCCTCATTTATGTAGAAATCGATGATTGAAAAACAAATATGATATACAGCAACAACTTCAGAATTACAGTCTCCTTGCTTGTAACAGGCAAATGTAGAATAAGGCGGGGTTAAAATGTTTGCGGACTACAAATACTCTCTTTACAATGGACCTTGATGTAAATGTGCATCATAAAACCAATATGACACAATTAGTTTAAAGGTCTACACTCATCAGATTGGTACAGAATACTTAAAACAACTAACAAAAAATGTATTAACAAAAATACTGAACTCTTAAGTAAATTCAAAAAGGTTAGAAGTCCATAATACCTGACAAAAATATCGAACGCTCGACAATCAACTAACTGGAAAACAACTGTCATATTCCTTTCTTCGTTCAGACATTTTCCGAGGAAAAAAGGGGATTAAACCCGGTTTGATAGCTACATAAACCTCCCACTTGTATGACAGTTAAAGGACTTAAGTCACAAATCCGATCTGAAAGTAATCACACCTAATAAAGAAATACTCGTGTAACTAAATATCCATTTACCAACAAATACATTATCTCGAGAGACATGAAAGCAAAACTACCATCCGAAATATGAAACATCAGCAAAAAATGTAAACACCTGAGAGTAGATTTTATCGACTGTAGATCATAGTTCTTACAGTAGTGCTAAACAAATTATTTTCTAAGAAGACATTTAAAATTTCGTCGATTAAACGTCGACTTTGTACGCAAAGTGACGCACAAATAGTAAAAGAGTAAAGTAAAACAGTGAAAAAATTGATGTGTATCGAAAAGAGCAGTTGAACCCAGAGTCAGCATTTCTCGTTGCAATATTCCCTACTGCAAGATATAACTTTAAAGAGCGTCATCCACAACAACAGCAATAAAACCTGTTTGAAATTGTTATGTAAATCAAAACAATCAAATGAATAAACTCAAAAAATAAACGTTGGCGTATACAATTTCAATGCTGTTTTCAATGATGATTTTATTTTCAACTACTAGGTCGATGCTACTGATTGTGGAGGTTTCTTCTTAGAAGGTATCACCAGCCCAGCAGTCAGCACTTCTGTAATGGCATGAATTATAATTGAAATATTAAGGATCTTCATCTTCGAATTGCAGTTTGCTTTTTTAACTTTTATGGTTCGTGCCTTACTGATTAGTCTTTTGTACACGAAACACGCTTCTGGCGTATTCAATTTTTAGTCTGGTATCTATCATCAGTATATTCACACATCGTTAAGCATAAATAATACAAAGGTTATTTAATAATTACCAATAAAGAACATCTTCCGGTTAAACTTTCAAGATTGCAAAGGTGACAGACCAAAAAAATGAGACAATCACATGAACTTAAAATATTCTAAACCTGTTAGTCGACAGGATAAGCGTCTTCATGTTATCATATATCGCCCACCAAACGATCTCACACATAGTTAAAATGTTCAAATTAGTAATAGGACATAATCGGTAAAATTACAGATTTAGCGACTCACTGATACATCGTATCGGCCTACTTATAGGCGGTAGTGATTGTAATACCGTATACATCTTATAATATATGAGAATAAAGTCTGCACTGCAATTTGTAATGCAATACGATAGCGCAGAGGTATATAAATGTTTTCTCATTTCCACTTGTAAATTCAAAAACTGCATAACCTGTGAAATTTTAATAACAAATGATCCTTTTACTAGCAATTTTGATACATGTCTGACTATACTAGGAACTGAGATGATCTGAAATATAAATTTACAAATCTCGTCTATGAACTAGTGTGTAACCTTTGTGGACCTGGATTGTGCTTGGGTTGGTGAAATAAAAAGAACTCTAAATAAACGTGTGTGGTCTATAGATCCGACAGAAACAACAATGCAAATGACATCGTTTGTCAACATTTTTATCATTCTGATCATTCAGTCTTTTTAATGCAAGTTCTCATCACCGAAAAATTATACTACAGGACTCACAATACTTATCATGCAGTACCTCTTTGTATGCAATAGGAAGAATACTGAATTCGTAATTTGGAAAAAATAACTCATCAAAGATTCCTGCTTATATTTATGTACGCCAAACGTGCGTTGTCGCAATATAGTCATCGTTATTATATATCACATAATTTCCATGATCTCTCGATTAATGATCCGTCATTGATACAGAAGCTGTTAGATATTCATTATATCCGCACGAAGCTTTATACACTACCACTTGCAAAACTCAATTTTCTAAACAAATTGTGTTTAGAAATCACTGTAAGAAATCTTCAATCAAACCAATACAAACTTACAGCTATCATTTTGATTTGGAAAATATGAAACGGAGAAAATATGCGCTGTAACGTTTTCCTTTGTTAACACAGTTATAGATACCATCAACAGACTAGTCATGCTATTACTGGTGACCAAGCCATTGTCAATTGTCAATAACACTTCACTACGAAATGCGTTAACCAGAGACTCGACATATTGTGAGCTTAAATCTATCAATTAGAAACAAAACTTTAAAATACTGATGGAATCATTCGAGTCTTAAACCACGCAATGGACTAAACGCCAAAAATTAGACTTAGGTACTCTTTCGGAATGGGTTATGTTTACTATGTTGTTTTGTATACTGTTGTTTGTCTTTTTTTTTTAGCCATAGAGTTGCCAGTTTCGACATATGAGTTTAAATGTCCCTTCGGTATTCTTCGCCTCTTTCTTATGGCAGCGAGGTTGTTGATAGAAATTAGAATCAAACAAACTGATATTTTGCATCCAATTTCACATTTCACATCCAATATTTTATGGTAATATTCGTTACAAAGCACAAAAATGTCGGCATTCATCTCAAAAGCTAACCAAACCTTTAAACAGACTTATTCGGAAAGGATATAGTTACGATACTGTTGTCAAGTCATTAAGGATTGCATATTTTGGTATTTATATTGATTCACTCATAGGGTCTTTGCATCGGAAATAAACACATTTAAGCTAAAACCAGTTGTTGGCATGATACGGATTATGTTCTTCTCATATATTGTATGATGGTATGATACTAAACCCCTAACGGGAGGGATTGTTCTTGATTTTCATGAAGACATAATCTTTCAATCAGTTTAATTGAGGTTTGGAGCTTGCATGTCAGTAACTGCTAGTAGTCCTTTGTTCGTTTATGTATCATTGTCATTTTGCTTAGTTTCTTTTGTTACCTATTCTGACATCGGACTCGGACTTCTTTTAAACTGAGTTTTACTGTGCGTATTGCTATGTGTTTCTTTATTCTACATTGGTTAGAGTTATAGGAGGAGGGTTGAGATCTCACAAAACATGTTTAACCCTGCCGCACTTTTGCGCCTGTCCCAAGTCAGGAGCCTCTGGCCTTTGTTAGTCTTGTATGTTTTTTAATTTTAGTTCATTTATATGTTTTGGAGTTTAGTGTGACGTCCATTATCACTGAACTAGTACACAATTTTATTTAGGGGCCAGCTGAGGACCACCTCCGGGTGCGGGATTTTCTTGCTGCGTTGAAGACCCATTGGTGGCCTTCGGCTGTTGTCTGCTCTTTGGTCGGGATGTTGTCTCTTTGACATATTCCCCATTTCCATTCTCAATTTTATGAATGGGTCTATAAATACACATGATACACTGACCGTAAAAGAACCAAAAGTTGATAAGAACCTGCCCTACCCTAATGACAAGTGTTTTATTCTCTCCACAGATAAAGCCCCAAAATTACCTTGTGTTTGTGTGGAAATAACATTACATCTACAGATTGGTCAAGGAATTAGGTAATGACAATCCACTTGGAAACTCAACATGTACCCCAAGACATTTATAAAAGCGGACATCATGAATAATCATAGGTCTGTTCCATGTTCTTTTAAAATTGCAACCAACAATGAAGAACTGGATCGTACTTTATTCTATTAGATAGATATAGGAAGATGTGGTCTGATTGCCAATGAGACAACTCTCCATCTAAGTAACAATTTATAAAAGTAAACCATTATAGGTCAAGGTACGGCCTTCAACACGGAGCATTGGCTCACACCGAACAGCACGCTATAAAGGGCCCAAAAAATTACTAGTGTAAAACCATTCAAACGGGAAAACCAACGGTCTAATCTATATAAATACGAGAAACGAGAAACACGTATGAACTACATAAGCAGACGACAACTACTGTACATCAGATTCCTGACTTAGGACAGGTGCAAACATTTGCAGCGGGATTAAACGTTTTAATGGTACCAAACCTTCTCCTTTTTTCTGAAACAATAGTATAACATCAAAACATAGAAAGATACACTATAAAATATCAATTGGCTTAACTCAATCAAAAAACGTAAATTAACACACAATGAACGAATAACTTTGATCTGTGATACCTATATTTCATAAGTGTCCCTACAAGCAAAGTTGTATTCATGCTTCTTCTAAGCTTCTTAAACCTCTTTTTATACTTTTAATATCAATGTTATAAGCAATCAATGCCAGGTTTCAGATCTAGAGTTATTGTGAAACTGCCTAATCATTGGGCAGTTTGAATCAGATGTAGATATTTGAAAATTACAAATATATGTTAGAGAACATATTATTATAATTTATTTCTTTATGCCCAAAATATCGTGAGCCTAAATCCATCAATTGCAAATACTGAAGGCTTCAGTCGAGGATTATGCCAGGCAATCGGTTAAACGCAAAGAAGACGTATATACTCTTTTCGAATGGATTAAGGGTATGAAGTCTTTGATACAAATTAGAATTAAAAAAAAACTTAACGGGTCTACGAATACACATGCTTAATCAATCTTAAAAGACCCAAATGATGCTCACTTGTCCTATCTCGATAAAAAAATACTGTTGTACCCGCAGATAAAGCCCCTAACAACATCATTTCTGTGTGTAAACCACATTACATAACTACATTACTACAATCCTGTCCCCTTTTCCCCGTATGTGACCTACCGAATTATACTTATTACCGGGTTTGTACTAACATGAGCAACACGACGGGTGCCACATGTGGAGCAGGATCTGCTTATCCTTCCGGAGCACCTGAGATCACTCCCAGTTTTTTGTTGGGTTCGTGTTGCTCAGTCTTTAGTTTTCTATGTTGTGTTTTTTGTACTGTTGTTTGTCTGTTCGTCTATTTCTTTTTAGACATGGCGTTGTCAGTTTATTTTTGACTTATGAGTTTGAATGTTCCTTTGGTCTCTTTCGCCTCTCTTTTACATAAACCTCTTGATAAATGAATTATGTATTAACAATTCACTTGAAAACTTAACATATACACCAACGACACTTACCAAGAAGGAAATCCTGGATAATCATAGATCTAGTCTATGTTCCTTTGGAATTTCAAAGAAAGATGAAGAACTGGATCTTCCTTCACTGTATTGGATACCTAAATTGCATACGCGTCTTTGCAAATGACGTTATATTGCTGGTTCTTTCAAGAGAATCACGAAACAACCTTCTAAATTATTCAAATCAATTTTATCAGCAATCAAAGCCGAGCTTCAAAGTTAGTGTAAAACTGCCTATTCTAGAGCATCGTGCATCAGATATTGATACTAAAAAATTTCAAAGATCTGTAAGACTACATATAATTTAAGACTATCATCTTGCAATAGTATTAAAATTACTGGCGTTTCTACACTTTACATCGGTAATCCCTATTTCAAACTAAGAGACAAATTAAAAGAGTTGGTCCTGCTTTGTTTCATAAAAAACAGAAAATAGATACAATAGTTATCAAAGGAACCAGGCTTATAATTTAATACGCCAGACGCGCGTTTCGTCTAAATAAGACTCATCAGTGACGCTCAGATCAAAATAGTTATAAAGCCAAAGAAGTACAAAGTTGAAGAGCATTGAGGACCCAAAATTCCAAAAATGTATGCCAAATACGGCTAAGGTAAGCTATGCCTGGGATAAGAAAATCCTTAGTAATTCGAAAAATTCATAATTTTGTAAACAGGAAATTTATAAAAATGAGCATATAATTGATATTCATGTCAACACCGAAGTGCTAACTACTGGGCTGGTGATACTCTCGGGGACGAAACTTCCACCAGCAGTGGCATCGACCCAGTGGTGTAAATAGTTATCAAAGGTACCAGGCTTATAATTTAATACGCCAGACGAGCGTTTCGTCTGCATAAGACTCATCAGTGACGCTCAGAACCAAATAGTTATAAAGCCAAAGAAGTACAAAGTTGAAGAGCATTGAGGACCCAAAATTCCAAAAATTTATGCCAAATACGGTTAAGGTAATCTATGCCTGGGATAAGAAAATCCTTAGTAATTCGAAAACTTAATAATTTTGTAAACAGGAAATTTATAAAAATGACCATATAATTGATACAAGTATCTTGTCGTAGGGTTTAGAGAGGGACAAATCGTACTTTGTAAAAATAAAATCCACTCTGATTCATCTTAAAAAATTCTCTGAAACAAACATTATCAAGATGCTTAATTTTTTGATTGACAACTTATTTGTTACGTTTTGAGGACATGCTCATGAAAATATAAAAAAGATCGTCATCTGTGAACAGATATTTTAAAACAGTCAACCAACTTGTGATTGCGTCCGTAAAATTTTCGAAGGGATGGTTTCAAACTCACCAATTGGAACTCTTGGTTAAATAGCTTCCAGTGATCAGCAACCCTCTATCAAAGAAATCATGAAAGGAAAAGCAAGCCATGGAATATCATATCAGCAGTTCAAAATAACATCAAAAAAGCAAGACGCACTTTATATAGATTAATAGGATTAGGTCTACCTTGAACCAAAGGATTGAACTATGAAACAATACTGTCACTAGTTAAAACTTTTGTACCACCGATTCTAACGTATGGACTAGAAATTCCAAAGGGCAAATCACTTATAACTGTTCATTTGTATCATAATAAATTATTAAAAGAGTTATTATTACTAGTATCTACTAATACAGCAGACCTAACCATATATATAGTCTCAGGGGCATAATCCTTATTGAAGATGAAATACATTATTTGGGATCATTATTAGATTAGAAAAAACTGAAACCCTGACCCTAACCCTAACCCTTAAAAAATGAAGAGAGAATACAGATATAGCAGTAAGGCAGCCGAAACTAAATTATATCAACAGTTGGTTTATTGATATTAAAAAACTCTGTTTATAATATAAAATAGAAAATATAGAAAACTTTTTGGACAATCAGCTAACAAAAACAAAATAGAAATCTTTTATAATCAACAAAGTG